GTTTAGTAAAGCCTCGTCGAAACCCTATCTTGAGATAAAATGTAAGAAGTCCTGTTCAGGTAACTCGCAAAATGAAAAAGAAGCGGAAAAGCCAATTTTCCGCAAGAAAAAGAAAAAGAATTTTAAATTCTTTAAGAAAAAGAAGTTCGGAGGAAAAGCACAAGATCGACTGTGCTTTATTTGCAAGAAAAAGGGACACTTTTCCAAGAACTCGTCCCCACAAAGCCGATAGAGCCATCAAACTCATCTCCACCCTTCAACTTGATGATAAGGATGATATAGAATCTCTCGTATTCGAACAAAGTTTTGCAGATGAAGAAACTGCTTTTGCTCTTAATATCTCCTCTCGGAGAATCTGAATCGAATATTCCGAGGAATTCGAGACTCGATACTCGTTCCAGGATTCTCCTTCCAAGAATCTCATCTCATCAATGTCTCTCCTCCTCAACCTTGTTTAGAAGTTCAAATTCTTCCGTCTAAATATGACAAGACTATCCAAGCCATAGCCTACATTGATACAGGAGCCCGTAAATCTATGATGGACCCCGACATTCTTCCTAAAGAATTTTGGAAGAAAGAAGCCTCCTATTTTGTTGCAGCTGACGGAAAGATTTTTAAGACTGAACTAATCACCAAAGCTCCAATTGGAATCAAGTTCTTCCCAGAATGCACTGTCTGGATTAAAGTAATTGGGAGCAAACTTCCCAACAAAGATATCCTGATAGGCATGGACATCTTCTCCATGACTAACAAATTTCAAATCCTTCCTACAGGGATCAGGTTCAAAAGAGAATTTAAACTTTTCACAGACATCCCTAGACTCTTCTCTCTCTCTGAAGCTCCTCCAGACCTTGAAGAAATAAAACTCAAATTAGCTTCTCTGTGCGCCAACAATCATGAATAATTTTCTCATCCCAAGCCGTTATGGAAGAATCCTGAGTTCTTTGTACAACTACCCTTCAAACTCAATGAAGATGTCAATCCAACCAAAGCCACTCACCCAGGAATGTCTCCTTTAGATTTACAGCTAGCAAGGCAAGAGTGCCAGGAACTGTTGAAACAAGGCCTGATCGAACCAACCCAATCTAATTGGGCCTGTCAAGCCTTCTATGTAGAAAAAAGGTCCGAAAAAATCAAAGGGAAAAAGAGGTTAGTAATCGACTACAAGCCTCTTAACTGTTTTCTTAAGGATGACAAATTTCCAATACCTAAAGCCTCATCCTTACCCACTCTGATAAAAGAAGCCCATATCTTTTCCAAGTTCGATCTTAAGTCTGGATTTTGGCAATTAGGCATTGACCCAACTAACAGATACAAAACTGCTTTCTGTATACTCAATGCCCAATACCAATGGAAAGTAATGCCTTTTGGGCTTAAGACAGCTCCATCACTGTTCCAAAAAGCCATGACAAAAATCTTTGAGCCCATATTAGACAGAGCAATTGTATACATTGATGATATTTTATTATTCTCACAAGACATGGACTCCCACAAACAGTTATTGGATCAATTTTTTAACATAGCCCATCAACATGGGATAATGCTCTCAGAGAAAAAGATTCACCTTGCCCAGGAAGAAATTGACTTTCTAGGAATGCACTTCTACCGTGGCTCTTACCAACCTCAACCTCATATTGCAGAGGAACTTCTCAACTTCCCAGATGAAAATCTGACCGTCAAGCAGATCCAACAGTTTCTTGGGATAGTTAATTATATTAGGGAATTTATCCCTAATGTGGCAAAGAATACAAGTCCCTTGTCCAAACTTTTAAAGAAAAATCCACCTCCTTGGGGAATAGAACAGACCAAAGCCATTAAAGAATTGAAGAAAACCGCTCAAGCTCCTCCAGCTCTAAAGATTCCAAGCAATGGGAAAAGAATACTACAGACTGATGCCAGTGATGAATACTGGGGAGCAGTACTCATTGAAGAAGAAAATGGAAGAAGATACTATTGTGGACATGCAAGCGGGCAATTCAAGGATGCCGAGAAACACTATCACACCACATTCAAGGAAGCCTTAGCTGTCAAGAATGGGATAAAGAAATTTGACTTCCACCTTAGAGGATATCACTTTGAAGTTCAAATGGACAACTCTTCATTCCCGAAGATCTTGGAGTTCAAGAACAAAATGCCTCCTAATCCTCGATTCTCGAGTTAATGGACTCGGTTTTCCAGGTATGATTTTACTCGTTAAGCATATTAAGGGAAACCTAAACACAAGTCCCCGACTTTTTGTCCGCACTCCAAAAAGACTCGTCCAATTAATAGTAGACACCCATAGTCTTCCCCTTATCTTTATGGTCAAACCTCTCTCCGACAAAGCCAAAACCATCAAAGTTTATCCACCTGACTTAAACCCAACCACACCAGCCGATATTCTCCATTATGCTAGAACAAGATATTTTTACTTTTTACATGAGACTTTTAGATACAAAGTAATTTCAGTCTCACTGTTTAACCCTGATATTCCTTTTGGAGGAATTTTTGAATTATTTTGTGAACCTGGTTGGGATCTTTGTGAACCTACTCTTTGGACCATTTGGTGCGATACAGTACAATACTCTATTCCCATCGCACTAAAGACACAAACAGCCTACCAAATTTTAACCCATCCATACAAAGACAAGTTCCTTTTTTGGACACTACTCGAATGGTTTTCTCCAATACCTTGGTGGAGACAACAGCTTAAGGAAATCCTAGATCTTAAAAAACAGAAAGGAGTTACTGAAGAATCTCTCAAGAATCTGACATCTATCTTCATCATCCACCGTCCATATTTTCTGAATCCAGCTGGACATCTCTGGTCAAGAAATGAAGCTTATCTATGGGCTAGTTTTGACACTTACCCACTTGATTCTAGTTACCGTGCACAACTGGCGCATCACCTCTGTGAAGTAAATCATTACCAACCCAAGCAGATAGACCCTAACATCGCCAGCTCATCCCAGAGACCACCTGACACATACTCTTTGGAGCAGATTACTCCAGAAAAAGACAAATCTCAAGAGATAAGATTTTTCAAATCACGATCAGAGATGAACGTCCCTGATGAAGCCTTCCAGAAGGTCGAAGATCTAGCTGACAACATCAACGAAGATCTAATGGAAGAAATGATGATGCACAAAAAGATGTATCCTTACTGGGATCCACTACATGGAAGCATGACAAGGAGTGAAGCCCAACAGATGAACTACTCTGGCTCCACTCGTTCTAACTAAAGTAAAGGCTTTAGTTAATGGCTGTCATTCTGACATGCTACTAAAGCAAGATTCCCTTATCTTTACACGTGTCCATTGCGTTTACCGCAAACGTGTTAATGAAGATAAGTCTGGATCAACTTTACTTTCCATGAAAGATAAGACATCATTTTTGAATCTTATCTTATCTTTTCTACTTTGTCCATACGTATGACTTCAATAAAGCATGAATCATGTTATTTTGTCTTGTGTAAGGCCATTATGATGTGTGGGCCATAGTTTGAATACTTTACTTCGGATTCCACCTTGTAACATAAGTTTCGGGTCCGAATTTCATTTTTGTTTAGCGAAGCTTTGAATTCCGTGTGTTTGTTTTCGCTATAAATAAGGGGATACTTGTAATGTTGAAGGCAGAGATCAATCGAATGAAATCAATACAAGTTCTCTTTAAAATGCTCTCTCTCTAAGTTTTCTCTTCTCTGAAAGCTTGAAGCTTATAATTCTTAGTATCGTTCCCCACTTAGATGCAAGTATGCTCTACACTTGCCTCGAAAGAGGATCTTGTGTATCAGAAAGCTTCTGATCGATGAAACCATTTTATCTCAGAGTGCTCTTCTTAAAAGAAATATGAACTTGAGTGGGCTTTTAGCCGAGAGATGGCGCCGTTATGCCCGAGGATGTTCATATCTTCTGGATAAGGAGAGGTCTCTGTCCGAAATGGTATCAGAGTGTTTGGAATGATGTAAGTTTTTTTTTCTAATATAAAATTAGATTTTAGATAAGAAGTTTTGTAAATTTGATTTTTACTCTTATTATTATTATCATTATGGTGACCTTTCTCATCATCACTGTCACGTAACCAACTTGAAAGTTGAGTAGATTGTTCCTTTCTAACCACTGCAACAATTGCTTTCAACTCCTCTCCAATATTTTGATTTGTATTTAAATTATCTTTAATATTAAAGAAAAAACCACGTCTACGTTAATATAAAAAAATATATGCTATTATATTAAATTTATAATTAATGATGAGAAGCATAACTTATTATTTCTATTTTCGTCTTCACTTTCTTTGAAATTTTCGTAGCAGAAACATACAATTAGATCGTTTATGCATGGGGATAATCTTTTTCAATCACCACTCAGTTGTTATTTTGTAGGGGTTTGCTCATTCAACTCACCATGAGTACCATACAAATATATTAATTTGAAAAAAATATAGTTATTATAATTTTAATATATTTTTAAAAATACATGGAAGATAATAAATAAAAACTAGATATATTTAAAAATAAAGAGAAAATATTATTTTTTTACGTATACGTTTTGACTCATGTATTTTTATTATTGTTATGAATGGAAATTTATTATTATCAACAACATTTGTTTAAAATTATAAATTTACTATTTTTTATAATTTAGCGAGTTTATTTTTTTACCTAATTCTTTTAATTTATAAATAAAAGCTACTAAAATTTATAATCTATAATCAATTTGGAGTGAATAACAATATACTGAGTGAGTTTGTAGTTAGTGCTTATTTAATAAAACAAGTAAATTTTATATATATGTCTAATTTGTTTATTTTAAAAATAAGTGATTTTTTGTTTATTTGATAAATAAATTCTATTTATTTTTAAATAAATTATTATAATTATTTAAAAAATATTTATTTTAAATTTAAGAAAGCCAGTCCCATATTAAGAAAAGCCCAAGAGTGAGTGCCCTTTAATATTTATAATTTATTTTATTTATTAATATAGTAATATCTTATCTATCTATATTTATTAACCTTTTTAGCAAACCGGGTTACCGGGTGGAGTCAGGTCCGCAATTGGATTTGGCCCAAAGTGAACTGATCCGGGTTTGTATTTACCCTAACACGATTCTCCCTCATCCTTGAGGAGAAACGAAATAACGTTGCCACTCACGAAGACAAACACGAACGTAGAACTTTTCCTCTCGTCTCTCAGACTCTCCTTCTAGACGACACTATCTCTGCTGCGACTTGAGTTGCTGATCATGATTGTGAGTGCTCTGTATCTATACCTTTTTTTTATTATTATTATTATTATAAGTATTCATGACAGTATTCTTCAATCGGAGCTTTGTATCTGCTAGGTTTTCAGTTATATGATATCTGTTTTGTTTTGAGTGCTATTTCATTACCATTTGAGAATAAATGTTTAAATCATCTTTATCACTGCATCTTAGTACATTTTTTTAGGTGTTACAATAAGAAACTATTTTGTTATGAATGTTAAGTATTAGTCAACTTAAACCAGCTTATTATGTTTGTATACTCTTAGAATTTGACATCCTTAAGAAGTATAACATCTGTTATGCATTATGAAAAATAAACGTTGCAATATTTAAAATCCAAATGTCAAGTCACCGAGTTCAAATATGCTGTTCCAGCAAAGCATGAGTGTTTCAACAAAGAATGAGTGTTGAGTGTTTCAATTAGTGGAAAAAATTTTGCCCCGACAAAGATGTGTTAGTGGAACAAAACGAGTACAACATAAGCCTCGACTGTTTTCAAAACCTATTATTTTTATTTTTTTCTGCGCTTCCTTCTTTCTTATGAAATGCAACACAGGATGAGAAAATCTCCTTTCGTTACATTTGTTCTTTTTGCTTGAACGGCATCTTAAATTTGATGTTATTCCTCTTCTTGAAATTTGGCTTGGAATGGGAATGGCGATTCTAGGCTTTTTGCTAGTGATTATAAGTTTTGAATTTTGTTTTAGTATATCATGTTAATGTGGTTTGCCAGTTTTAGACCTAAATGAATTGGGTTTGATTAATTACGTTTCTGCTTTTGAGGTGTCAATACTTATTGGCTTAGGATTATTTGAAATTGAGGTAAACATAAATTGCTATATGCTTGTGGGGTGTAGGTTATAAGGATTTTATGGTTTAGTTATTTGACTTGTACTAGAAGTAATACGATAGTTTTTTACATCCTTTGGTAAGGAAGACACTTAGTGCTATTGAATGGATGCTTCCTCTTAACACTGCAATTTAAGAACTACGATTTGAATCCTGATCTCTTAAGAAGTTTGGGTGATTGGATTTGTTTATAGTTTTTGAACATTGGAGTGTTGTTTCTGAGTTATGATGACTCTATGTTTGATGAGAGGTTAGTTTTCTTTTTTATCCATGGTTGGTTGACATTGGATTTTGAAGAAATTTAATGTTCAAATGAATAAATAGTTAGTACTACCAACTAACCTAATGACCTTTCCTCTCCTTCCCATTCAGTTCTCTCCCTTATAATTATCTCCCACTCTGACAAACCATTCCACCAAAATTTAAAAAGACTGAGGAGAGGGTGATGAGGTGGGTGTGTGCCTATTCAAAATTCTTGAACCAAGATGAAGAAATCATCTAAGACTTTCTTACCCCCTCCAAACTAAGATCATCCTTCCACTACAACCCCGAGGTCATCAACTCATGGGAACTCATATACTGTCTCCCCACTGACAACTTCAACTTGTGACACGGTATATTCTTTATGTGACACTTAAAAGTTACATGCATTAAATATATATCACATGGCTTTGGATTAAAGAGTGGATATGAAAGAGTGAAAAAAGTTAGAAAGAGAATAGAAAGTGAGGTTTGGATTAAGAGAAAAGAGTAGAAAGTAAAATAAATTTATTTATTATTTTAATATATATTTTTAATATAATTTTTTAATTATTTATTATTATAATAATATAAAAAATAAAAACTGTAATATTTTTTTAAACATAAGTAAATATTACATAATCTTTGATTATGTTTGAAAATTTTAACTTTCCTCTACTTTTCTACGCACCGGATAGAGGAAGAATCTTTTTTTTTTTCGATTTTTGAAATTTTATACATTGAATTGCGTAGATTGCCCCTTCAATGTTTTCATTTAGTCTACTTGACACAAAATTAATGATTTTGTTAGCTGGATTAAAAACTTAACAGATCTCATAATTATTTTATACAATATATTTTATTATTTTTATCATGGTTATCGAACTCGCGGGTTGACTCGTACACCCGTACGAGTCAGCGAGTCAAGTTATTGTTTACGGGTTAACTCGCATATAAACTCGTTTTTTGTTTGACTCGGAGTGAACTCGGAATAAACTCGCTGACTCGGAATAGACTCGCAAGTTTGAGAGCGAGTCACCAAGTTCGTAGGGAGGACGAAACGACAAACAAAAATGTCGTTACCATTTCGATTTTAAACCCAAACAAAAGCCCTAACCACCCAAATTGAAAACCTAAACGAAATTAAAGATTGAAACCCAAATCAAAAACCCTAATCGAAGAAGAAGAAGAAAAAATCGAAGATGAAAACCTAGATCTGACCTCCCTCGTCCCCGCAGCTCTGGTGTCGCGCGTTGAGTTTTGGTCGCATCGCGTCGCGTTTTCGCCCCCGCAGCTTCGCGTCATCGTGTCGCGTTTCGCCCCCCTCCCCCCGCAGCTCAGTGGCGTCGCACCTCCAATCGCCTCGCGTCGCAGCTCCGGTTGTCTCGCGTAGCAGCTCCGGTCGCCTCGCGTCGCAGTACTCGCGTAAGTGAGTGTGAGGCATTGCATTTCTCTAAAATGCAATGCATTTTTTTAACCGAAACTTTTTTTTATTCATTAGTAAAAATTTAGTCGTTAAATTTTTTTATATTTTTTATTTATTTATTTATTGAATAGGTAGTATTTATATAATTTATTCTCTGTTTTATTTATTGAATTTATTTTTTGTTGCATATTTTATGTTTTATTTTAGTTGTTTTTTATAGTTGTTCTAAAAAAATAAATTATTTTATTTTTAGTTAATTGAGACTCGATTTGCAATGTCCGGAAGTGGGACTCGCTTCAAATTTTTGTGATTCCAATGTTAATGTATCTTCACTACCTAGACCTCCTAGACCTAGAAGTAAAAATGCTTTAGGAAACCGGACCGACATTGGATGGAAACACAGAACAGATGTTTCGGGTAATGGAAAAAAAGTTAAATGTAATTATTGCTCAAAAATAATCAATGGAGGAGTTTTCAGATTCAAACATCATCTTGCTGGTACTAGATATGATTATGAACCATGTGCCTCAATTCCAAAAGAAGTGAAAGTTGTAATGATGAAAGTTGTGGCAGAGGCTAAAGATGTTTCAGAAAAGAAAAGGAGACGGAATATAATTGATGAGTATGATGATGAGCACATTCAAGAGGTGGATACCACTCAAAGTAGTAGTAGTAGTATGTTCAAAAATAAAGGAAAGGGCAAATTCAGTCAAGGTGTTCAATCTACTTTAAATCAACTGTATAAGAAAGGAGATAAAAAAAAAGCTGATGCTCAAGTGGCGGAATTTTTTTACACAAGTGTCATTCCATTCAATGTTATTAGAAATCCTGCTTTTGCAAAAATGTGTGAGATGATTGGAAGATATGGAGTTGGTTACAAACCCCCATCATATCATGATATTAGAGAAAAACTTTTGAAACAAGCAAGTGCAAAAACCGATGTAATCCTTGAAGAATATAAGGAGGAGTGGAAAAGAACGAGGTTGCACAATCATGTCTCGATGGGTGGTCCGACAAAAAAAGACGTTCTATTTGTAACTTTCTAGTCAATAGTCCTAAAGGGACTCGTGTTTCTTTACTCATTGGATATATCAAATATCTCAAAAACTACAGATAAAGTGTTTAAGATGTTGGATGATGTAGTGGAATTTGTTGGAGAGGAGAATGTGGTTCAAGTGGTTACCGATAATGCTGCAAATTTCAAGGCAGCTGGAGAGTTATTGATGCAAAAACGAGAGCATTTGTATTGGACCCCATGTGCTGCCCATTGCATTGATTTGATTTTTGAAGATTTTGAAAAACATTTGAAGGTCCATCAAACTACTATCAAGAAGGGAAGAAGAATCACTACCTACATTTATGGTAGAGCAATGCTAATTAGCATGTTAAAGAAGTTTACCAAAGGCAGAGACTTGATAAGGCCAGGTATGACTAGATTTGCCACATCTTATCTAACTCTTGCATGTCTTCATGAATTGAAAGCATCATTGATGAGCTTCTTTAGCTCTGATGAGTGGAAATCAAGCAAATTTTGAACTTCAATGGAAGGGAGAAAAATTGAGCATGTGGTATTAGATAGACGGTTTTGGAAGAATGTAACCACTTGTCTCAAAGTTGCTGCCCCTTTGATGGTGGTCCTTCGATTAGTGGATTCAGATATAAAACCCGCAATGGGTTTCATTTATGAAGAAATGGATTCCGCCAAAGAGAAGATCAAATTTAACTTTAATAATATTAAGAAAAGGTAAAATTTATAAACTTTCTCTTTTTCGATTTTCATTCTTTATTTTGTGTAATTATTTCTAACATTGCATGATTGCATCATTGTAGTTATGAACCCGTTTGGAACATAATTGATGAGAGGTGGAATAATCAACTTCATAGACCTTTGCATGCGGCCGCATATTACCTTAACCCTCACATGCACTATGAACCTAATTTTAGAAATGATGATGTGGAGGTAAAAGAAGGGTTGTATGAATGCATGAAAAGATTGGTCAAGGATGTTGCGTAAAGGAAAAAAATTAATTTACAACTTCTAGAGTTTCATTTTGCAAAAGGACTTTTCTCAATGGAAAATGCAAAAGATTGTAGGAAAGTTATGGTCCTTGGAGAATGGTGGGAAATGTTTGGAGATGGAACTCCGAGTTGAAGTGATTTGCTATTCGAGTTTTGAACTTAACTTGTAGTTCTTCCGGGTGTGAGCGTAATTGGAGCTCATTTGAAATGGTAAGTCAAATTTGTTAAGTTATTATTTGTTTTTAATTTTTTGTATTTAAACATTCATATTTATTTATAGGTTCACACAAAAAGAAGAAACCGTTTGCACCAGAAAAAGATGAATGACTTGGTTTATGTCATGTACAACTTGAAGCTCAAAAATAAACAAAATAGGAAAACAATTGCTCTCCCATTTGATGATATTGAGTCCGATGATGAATGGATAACGTAAGA